TGGCAGGAACATAATGAAATTCCCATAGTTGTTATAGAGATCTAGGGCTATGATGGCTCAAGAGAGCAAAGTACAAGGGATACAAAAACTACATGAAAAAATTAATAATGTATACGTAATATAAATTGTTGAATACAACAAAAAAGAAATCTAAATACTCATGTCATATGAATACTGATGCAAAAATAATAAAATATTAAATGGAAGTCAGCAGGAAAACAGATAATATAAGCAAGTATGGTTCACCATGGGAATAAATGAATGAGTTAATATTAGGAATTCTATTAACATCAGCTGCCATATTGATAATGTCAGGGGTAAAAAAATTGTCTTCACAGATGTCATTAATATATAAAATATAAATTAAAATACAAAATATTCTTAATAAAGTAGAAGGAATGAATGTTTTCCAAACACAACAAAAATTACCTAGTCAAAAGCCAACATCCTGCTGAATGCTCAATATAACACGCATTCCCTTTATAAACTGAAGCAATCGGCTGGGCACAGTGGCTCACGCCTCTAATCCCAGCACTTTGGGAGGCCAAGGTGGGTGGATTACCTGAGGTCAGGAGTTCAAGACCACCCTGGGCAACACGGTGAAACCTAAGACAGCAGAATTGCTTGAACCTGGGAGGCAGAGGTTGCAGTGAGCCAAGATCGTGCCACTGCACTCCAGCCTGGGTGACAGAGCGAGACTCTGTCTCAAATAAATAAATAAATACATAAATAAATTGAAGCAATCACTATGGAAGGCAATTTGGCAGTATCTACTCTAAAAGATGCATATACCTTTGATCTAACCATTTCATTTCTGGGAATTTTCCTACTTTATTTTTAATGAAAACATTGAAGGAAAACAATTAGATGTTCATCAATATAACATCTATATGATGGAATACTAGGTGGCCAAGAAAAGGAATGAGTTAGCCTAATTTGGTATTCTACAATAATGATCAAAATATATTGTTAAATAAAAAAGCAAGTCCAAAATGGTATGCACAATACACTCCCCATCTCTCTGAACATGTCTTCTCTTGAACAGAATTTCTTTAAGGGTATATAATAGGGAGGGAACAAAGGGATTTGGAACATGGGACAGGAAAGAGACAACTTACCATTGTCTAAATTTTTGAACTATTTGAATTTTCATCATATACATGTATTATTTTTTAAATTGACAGAAACTAATAGAAAATAAATGCAAAAATTGTAAGATGCTTGGGAGAAGTATTTTCCTGCTATATGTTATATAAATTGAAAGGAATCATGCATATGTCCACAGTACAGATGATAAACCCTATTTTCATCAGAACTCTGAATACAGTTCAGAATAGGCTAGAATAAATACTACATCTTACTTTAAAAAAGACTTTCTATAAAAAAATGTAAAAATTATAATTTATCCTAAGAAAATACTCTAAAATGCAAGAAGGTCGAGAAAGATTACAATTTGAAAAAGCTCTGTCAGAAGTAAGGCACAATTCTGAACACAAAAGAGGAAGTTAGAAGTTAGAGAGTTAAGAAGTTAGAAAGGCAAATAAAATCTCAGAAGGCCTTCTATTCCCTATCATGTCTAAGGAAATCAGGAAGTCCAGAAAAGATACAGCATCACCTATGAAGAATTCTTGCCAAAAATTTTCCAGTTTTCAGGAAAAACAGAGGATAGGGGAACAATGAGAAAATCTAAGAGACAAATGGCATGGTCTCTTCAGCAAGTCGATGTTATGAGGGAAAAAATGGAAAAGAGAAACTATTCTATATTAAAAGAGACAGACATAACCAAACAACATGGGTTAACTTAGACTGGATCTTAGTGTGAGCAAACAAGATCTAAAATATATTTGGTGACAACTGGGAAATGTGAATATGAACTGGTTCTTGGGCATCTGTCTGCCTGTGAGAGATAGGACTAGCTGGATTTACTAGGCTGACTAAGAATTCCTAAGCCTAGATGTGGAGGTGACTGCATCCACCTTTAAACACAGGGCTTGTAACTCAGCTCACACCTGACCCATCAGGTAGTAAAGAGGGCTCACTAAAATACCAATTAGGCTAAAAGCAGGAGGTAAACCAAGGTAATAGATTCAATGCCATCCCCATTAAGCTACCAATGACTTTCTTCACAGAATTGGAAAAAACTACTTTAAAGTTCATACGGAACCAAAAAAGAGCCCACATTGCCAAGACAATCCTAAGCCAAAAGAACAAAGCTGGAGGCATCATGCTACCTGACTTCAAACTATACTACAAGGCTACAGTAACCAAAACAGCATGGTACTGGTACCAAAACAGAGATATACACCAATGGAACAGAACAGAGCCCTCAGAAATAATACCACACGTCTACAACCATCTGATCTTTGACAAACCTGACAAAAACAAGAAATGGGGAAAGGATTCCCTATTTAATAAATAGTACTGGGAAAACTGGCTAGCCATAAGTAGAAAGCTGAAACTGGATCCCTTCCTTACACCTTATACAAAAATTACTTCAAGATGAATTAGAGACTTAAATGTTAGACCTAAAACCATAAAAACCCTAGAAGAAAACCTAGGCAATACCATTCAGGACACAGGCATGGGCAGGGACTGCATGTCTAAAACCCCAAAAGAAATGGCAACAAAAGCCAAAATTGACAAACGGGATCTAATTAAACTAAAGAGCTTCTGCACAGCAAAAGAAACTACCATCAAAGTGAACAGGCAACCTACAGAATGGGAGAAAATGTTTGCCATCTACTCATCTGACAAAGGGCTAATATCCAGAATCTACAAAGAACTCAAACAAATTTACAAGAAAAAAACAACTCCATCAAAAAGTGGGCAAAGGATATGAACAGACACTTCTCAAAAGAAGACACATGAAACCAACCAACAGACACATGAAAAAATGCTCATCATCACTAGCCATCAGAGAAATGCAAATCAAAACCACAATGAGATACCATCACACACCAGTTAGAAAGGCGATTGTTAAAAAGTCAGGAAACAACAGGTGCTGGAGAGGATGTGGAGAAATAGGAACACTTCTACACTGTTGGTGGGACTGTAAACCAGTTCAACCATTGTGGAAGACAGTGTGGCAATTCCTCAAGGATGTAGAACTAGAAATACCATTTGACCCAGCCATCCCATTACTGGGTATATACCAAAGGATTAATAATCAATGCTGCGATAAAGACCTGCCACGATTTATTACAGCAGTTCACCAAAGCAAAGCACTTGGAACCACCCCAAATTGTCCATCAATTAAGAAAATATGGCACATATACACTATGCAATAGTAGGCAGCCATAAAAAAGGATGAGTTCATGTCCTTTGTAGGGACATGGATGAAGCTGGAAACCATCTTTCTCAGCAAACTATCGCAAGAACAGAAAACCAAACACCGCATGTTCTCACTCATAGGTAGGAATTGAATAATGAGAACACTTGGACACAGGAAGGGGAACATCACACACCGGGGCCTGTTGTGGGGTGAGGGAAGCGGGGAGGGATAGCATTAGGAGATATACCTAATGTAAATGACGAGTTAATGGGTGCAGCGCACCAAGATGGCACATATCTAACAAACCCGCACGTTGTGCACATGTACCCTAGAACATAAAGTATAATTAAAAAAAAAAAAAAAAGAAATAGTCAAATCATCTATCGCCTGAGAGCACAGGGGGAGGGACAATGATGGGGATACAAACCCAGGCATTCGAGCAGGGAGCGGCAACCACTTTGGGTCCCCTCCCGTCGTATAGGAGCTCTGTTTTCACTCTATTAAATCTGGCAACTGCACACTCCTCTGGTCGTGTTTGTTCTGGCTCGAGCTGAGCTTTTGCTCACGGTCCACCACTGCTGTTCGCCGCAGTCGCAGACCCGCCATTGACTTCCACCCCTCCGGATCCCACAGGGCGTCTGCCACGCTTTTGATCCAGCGAGGCACCCACTGCTGCTCCCGATTGGGCTAGAAGCTCGTCATTGTTCCTGCGCAGCTGAGTGCCCAGGTTCATCCTAATGGAGCTAAACACTAGTTGCTGGGTTCCACAGTTCTCTTCTGTGACTCACAGCTTATAATATAACATTCATCGCATGGCCCAAGGTTCCATTCCTTGGAATCTGTGAAGCCAAGAACCCCAGGTCAGAGAACAAAAGGCTTGCCCCCATCTTGGGAGCCGCCCGCCCCCACCTTGGGAGCTCTAAGAACAAAGACCCACCAGTAACACCTGGATGAAGATTGGAAGGTGGTATTACACTATTAAACATAAACCATGTGGTCCCAGCTACTCAGGAGGCTAAGGCAGGAGATTACTTGAGCCCAGGAGGTGGTGGCCGCAGTGAGCCATGTTCACACCACTGCACTCCATTCTGAGTAACACAGCAAGACTGTCTCAAAAAAACAAACAAACAAAACAACAACAACAACAACAACAAAAAAACAGACTAGGGGACAGAGAAGCTTACATGTTTAAAGTGTATCTTAGGCAGCAAAAATGTTCTGAAGCTTTGCCACTATCTGGGTTTGAAGCAAACTTGGAATTATGCATTATAATAAACTCTTTCATTCTGCAAACTAGTATCCTCATTAAAATGAAATCACACAAAACCAAAAAGTTGCAAAATTCTAATTTGCATACCCAGTGAGAACAGAGGAAATGGAAAGAGTGCTCCAGTGTCTTCCCTTTTATATTCCTCCACAGATTTTCATGTACAATATTAGGGCATAAAGTAAACTTTGCTCATTTTAATTGAGTAATATGTATATGTGTTCACACTGGATTTTAAGCTAACTGTATGCTATGAGACCTTGATAAATAAGTAGTCAACAACACAAAACAAACATATTGATTTAAAGATGCAATATACTGAGGTTCCAAGGGGAAAAGATACGTTCATAAAAATACAAGTCATTGTAAGTTTGTGTAAATTCTTCTGTAAGAGGGAAAAAGGCATCTATAATTTGCTATTTATGTCTATTAAGAAAAAAGCTCGTTGACATAATGACTTACACAATGATTTTCCTGGATACAGCTTTGCCTGGGGGTAGCCAGGGATCATTTTTTCATCTTTAGCTCTAAGATTTTCAAGTTCATGTTTGATAATGAATTGACATTCCGCCATTGTCAGGAAATCATCATTGTTATCTAAAATAAGACAGAAATTACCAGATTTTAGTAGTAATCAAAATAAAAATATTCCAATTATCTGAGATTATAGAAACAATGGTGTAAACAAGAAGCAATTAACATAAGTAATCAAAGTATGAAGCTGGTAAATTAAATAGAACATAAAGCTCCTTAGATATTTTACAAGAATAAAAAAATTATGTTATGCCTTCACATAATACAATTCTACAATAACCATTTTAATACTTATAGTAGAAACATTCAAAAAGCATATAATTGATCTCATTTAGTACCAATGAGCAGAAAGCAGTATTTTCTTAAATTATAATAATATATTAAACTTATTAACATATTATTGTGTTAAACCAGGGATGGAATTGAAGAAGTTTGCCTATATGGCAAATTATCCTCCTTCAAACTCTCAAGCCCATTCCATTCCCTTCTGGAGTCAAACATCCCTTCCATTAATGAGAGAGAAGAAAGTCTTGTAAGAAAATATTGTTACTATTTGACAGGTGAATCCTCTTAAATACGGTAAATTTCATCTTGAACATTTATTCACTCAGGTATAAAAATCCGGAGTAAGTGAATCCAAAGAAGTCTAATCACATCTTCTAACTCTGAAAGCCCTGGCAGGGATCAGTTTGATTCTGAAGCTAAGCTCCCATCCTGTTATCATATCCACCCTGGCTTTCCCAGTTCTTTCCTGAAAATATTCTCTACTAGAACCTGTTTTGGGGCCAGTATAGAACCAATGACCCTATCACATTCAGCAGGAGCCAGAAAATTCAGGAAATGAGGTTTCTAAGGTACTGAACTACTACTGTGTTTCTCATTACTACAATTTTTTTCTAATAAATATTCACATGTGGTTATTTGTAGAAAATCTCTACTTATGCAACTTTCTATAGTTAATTTCTTTTTACATGATTGTTTTCTTGTAGAGTGAGAAAATATAATACTTTTCTTGGAGTATTTTGTTAACTTAGAATTGATTGGTGACAATCATTCTGCATTCAAAAAAAAGGATTTTTCTGTATCAAGCTACTGAATACTCATAAGAATTAGAATAGAATAATATAAATAAGTTACATGTGTTCTTCTAATTTGTGTTCATCCAGGGGAGGCAAAGGATGGCAACAGGCCAAATGTAGCCTGCCACATGGTCTTATAAATAAAGTTTTATTGAACACAGCCTCGCCCATTCACTTACTTATGGTCTATGGCTGCTTTTTTGCTCTACCAATGGCAGTGTTGAGTAATTGCAGCAGAGACCACACGGACTGCAAAACCTAAAATATTCACTATTTGATCCTTTACTGAAAAAATATTCACTATTTGATCTATTCATCATAAACTTCTTTTTGATAAATGGATTCTAACAGAGACAAAGAACTAAGGGCTTACCATCGAAACCTTTGAAGTTCTGTCTGGTTCTGTATGTGAAGGCTCTCATGGTGTTATCATTGCACTCTTTTACCAATCCCACTGCTTCTGCTCCCAGTAACATTCTAATCTTGGAGGCACCAACAAGATATAAGTTCTGATTTTCTAGTGTTTCTTGTTCATATTTATTTAACAATGGTCTAAACAACAACTGGGCACCTTCAAAAACAAAAGATAAGTACAATCTTAGACAAACATAAATGTTTCGAAAATAAAAACTTTCTCAATAAATATAATGTTTCTAGTCTGGTAGAAGAAAAAGAAATTATATTAACAATTTAAATCCATCTTCCAAGTAAATAACATAAGTACATTAGGGATGGCAGTTCTTTATAGTTTTTCAATAAATGCAAAAACTTAAAAATGTAGCACTAAGTGGCCTGCCACTTATTCAAATGTGAAGCAGATGAGACAAGAATTCAATATTTATGAGCTCTAGGTATAAAAGTGCACTAAATAAAAATATAGAACAAAGATTGCAGTTTAATATAAACACAATAGACCAAAATTTAAGAAAATTAATTTGGAACAAAATGTTTCAGTAAAAAGAAAAACCAAAAATGTAATACAATTACACTGGACTATAACAGATTTTGTGACTGTTAAATACTAAATAATATTACTAAATACTAATATTATTTAGTGACTGTTAAATACTAAATAAATAATACTAAATACTAAAAAAAGCAATATAACTTTTCAGTGATTTTTCCCATCAATTTCTATGTTCTATTTGGTTTAATATTTTTCTGAAATAAGTTACCAAAACATAAAGAGATGCTATGATTTGATCATATACATGTAATTATTATTTAAAAGATTATAAAGAAAAGAGATTATTTCCACCTACATCGATTTTTGTTTTTGAGACATGGTCTCACTCTATTGCCCAGGCTGGAGTGCGGTGGCATGATCTTGGCTCACTGCAACCTCCACCTGCCAGGCTCAGGAGATTCTCCCACCTTTGCCTCTCGAATAGGTGGGACTACAGGTGTGTGCCACCACGCCAAGCTATTTTTTTGTATTTTTTGTAGAGGCAGGGTTTCACCATGTTGCCCAGGCTGGTCTTGAACTTCTGAGCTCAAGAGATCCACCCACTTCGGCCTCCCAAGTGCTGGGATTATAGGCATAAGCCACAGTGCCCGGCTTTAAACTTTTAAAGGTACATTTATTTCTTTAGTATTTACCCTCTAGGGATGGTTGACAGGAATGATGAAAATATTAATCGGATGATAACAGGATCATGAGCAGAATTTGTACTTCATTTATCAAATGGTTTAATATATTAAGATGAATGCATTATGACACTATTATCTAGGTAATATACAGTAAAGCTATTAAAGACTTTAGTAAAAGGTATATTCAATTTACAGAAAATACCAATGGCTCTTAAATATAAGATCCTTAACCTCACTCATATTAAGACAAATGTAAAAACTATACCAATATGCTGTTTCTCACCTCTCACACTGCAAAGATGGAAAGTTTGATAACAGGTTGGTGAGCGTGGTAGCTGTGAAGGTACCCCACTCCACCAGCTCTCCCTTCAAGACAATCTGCTTTGAAGAACAGGGTTGACTGCCAGGCTCCTGTTGCCACACCTTAAGATGCTTCTCCCAGCTGCCTCCAGCCATCAGCGGGGCACAGAGGGGATACTGGAACAAGGCCATTTCTGCACAACATAAGTTTCCTTTAAAGGGCAACTTTAAGCCTGGCTGTTACTTTCTCAGAACTGGGCTGTGGTCTGAGGCTCTTCCGACTCAATTCTCCTTCCTTTCTTCTCTCCTTTAACAACTGTCAAACTGACAAAGTCTGAAGGCTCTCTAGACCCACTCTTGCTCCCTCCTCCTTCTTTCCACAAATATTTCTCTCAATAAACTTCTTGTTCATCAAATCCCATCTCTTGTTTGGAAGACCCAAACAGACACAGTGAGTTTTTGGGGAAAGGCATCCCAGCCATTTTTAGTGGGACAGCAACTGGTATAACCTTTTTTTATTAGTTAGTTAATTAATTTATTTTGAGACAGTGTCTCGCTCTGTCACCCAGGCTAGAGTGCAATGGTGCGATATTGGCTCACTGCAACCTCCGCCTCCAGGTTCAAGTGCTTCTCCTGCTTCAGTCCCCAAATAACTGGGAACGCCCAGCTAATTTTTGTAACTTTAGTAGAGATGGAGTTTCACTGTGTTAGCCAGGCTGGTCTTGAACTCCTGACCTCAAGTGATCCTCCTGCCATGGCCTCCCAAAGTGCTGGGAGTACAGGCATAAGCCACTATGCCTGGCCTGGTATAACCTTTATGAAGAACCACTTGTCAACATTTTGCTTTGAAAAAGAGCATTTTTCTCAGATGTTTGGTGATCTTTCATTACATGTTCATGTTTAAGAAAGAGGTTCTGTGAGGCTAAACGGAATTTCTGAGGGCTTGTATAGAGCTCATCAAGGATGGCCTTTAATGTAAGGTCTTCCTCCCCTCCATTAACCTTTCCCTTTCAAATTGTTCAGATGATTCCTTTGTTAGTTGTTTTCACGTCATCAAATAACATGCTTATAGAGCTATTTCTTGATTTTTCAGTTTTAACCATTGAAGATGAGGATTTTTAGCTCACTTTCCTTCTTCACCATTTCCATTCATCATTCCCATTACCTATTCTCACAATATGGTTAAATCATCCTTTGGTTACATCAAGTCAGTATGTGATTATGACTACATGTTATATACAGTATGCTATGATTTTCCTTTCTCATACTTTCCATTTTCCCAAAAGTTGCTGTCTTGTTTTATCATTTGCTTAGTTTATTATGTACCTATCAGTAAGCCAATCCCCCAAGTTCTCTGCCAACTGTCTCTCTCCTTGATCCACTGACACGAAAGATAACCTATCAACATCATCTTCATGGAGAACTCTTTCTTCACTCTGCCCTCACACCTCACTTTTCTTTGTTCTCTTTCTAGAACTCCTTTTATTCAGACGTGTACCTCATGAACTAGTCCTTCAATTTTCTTATTATTTGTTCTCACATTTTCCAATTCTTTACCTTTTTGCTCTTCTTTTTTGGAGGCTTTTCTCAACATGATCTTCTAGTAATTTTACTGAGTTTTTACATTTTAACTTCGTATTTTCACTTTATAAGAGCTGCTTTTTTCCTAAATGATTTTTATAGTATCCTATTCTTGATTTATAGATGTTACATCTTTTCACAACTCTGAGTGCTGAGATTTTTATTATTTTTTGGTTTTCTTCTTCTCAATAGTCTGTTGCTTTTATCTGTTTAGTTTTAGATTTCTCTTTCATGTTAGGAATTGTTCTCAGATGTTTGGTGATCTTTTATTACATGTTCACATTTAAGAAAGGGGCTGTATGAGGCTAAACGGAAGTTCTGAGGGCTTAGATGGAGCTCATCAAGGATGGCCTTTAATGTAAGGTAGTCTGGTCAAATAATTTTCCGTTAGCAACCCCCTGATTTCTGCACCTTTAGTTATTTTGTCTTAAGCTGGTCAGATTCTCCAAAGAAAGATTGTCCAATCTGCGTCCTACGAGGTGTGAATCTCACTGCTAATATTTTGGAAACTAAATTAGGTGTGTGAGTGGTGGAGTGGGGGAAAGGGGAATGGTATTCAGTATCTTATTTTCAGTTCAGAATCTGTGCCTTCAATTGTGTATAGACTCCTATGCCAAAAACCATGCATCTGACCATCTCCAGAGAATAAACCTCAAGTCTTCTGCTGGGGTTGTAGAATATGGAAGGGATTTGAGGATCTATTTATTTTTATTTTAACTGACACATAATAATTGTATATATTCATGGAGTACATAGTAGTATTTCAATACATATAATGTAGAGTGCTCAGATCAGGGTTGTTAGCATACCCATCATCTCAAACATTTATTATTTCTTTGTGTTGGGAACATTCAATATCCTCCTTCTAGCTATTTGAAACTCTGTATTATTTCTTAAATGGATCTCAGCCAGTTACCTTTTCTTCTTTTTTCTTCCTACTTTTATCCCCACCTCCATAGGTCCAGTGTCCCTAATTCCTGAGTCATTGTGGGTATTGTGCAGAGTAAACCAAATTGCATCTCAACTTCCTTCCCTGTCAGCTTAACTTTTGGCTTTCTCAAATCTGACAAGTCAATAACTATTCAGCCACCTGTTTCCTAGCTTCCAATTTTTGCTGCTCTTATATCTTTTTTTTTTTTTTTTGGTCCATGTGACTTTGGTCTTTTATATATTTTTTATTATTATTGTCAATTTAATAGCAGGTTGGAAGAGAATAAAAGTAAACATGAGTATAAATCCACTCCCTTCACCTGGAAGATGCGGAACACTTTTTTGGGAAGATTTTTTATGATCGCCCAAAAAGTGTGGAAAGATTCCCATCCCTTCCCTGTGTGTCCCTGGAGGCCACAATCGGCAAAAAGACGGCGGGGAATACACTGGAATCTTTCACACTGAAACACTATATAATTCTTAAATCACAAAAATTTTAAACAACAGACTTAAGATCAGTGAAATGCTCACATTTCTGCAAGCAAATACTCTTGTTTTTAAGTTTCCTTCTGGTTCAACTATTTGAAAAAAATTTTAATTCCACTTTGATTCCAATTTTATTCTTAAGAAATAACTTCAGTTTATAGTAACAGTTTTGTGGTTTTTTTTGTTTTTTTTAAAGAGTCTAAGTCTAGTCCAGTGTTCAGAGACTCTGTGCAGACTAAGGTGTTGTTTTGTATAGTTTACAAAATATTTGCTCATGTAAAACACTAAAACACCCGCTGCTTTCTCACCCAGACTGGGAACCCATGTCACCTTTCAAGAGAAGGCTAAACCTTGGCATCTGAAGTCATTCCTTGCCATTGCAGAAAGTACTGCCACAGTGTCATCTAGCCCTTCCCTTTACTTTTACAGTAAATATACACATGATTCATTTGTTCATCCCATGCATTGCTTTGTGACAGCTCTTCCAAGTACTTTTCTTTATTTTAAATTTCTTTCTACCCTGATGGTAACATCTTTGCAGGCAGAGACTATATTTCTCTCTCCCTTAGTACCATAACTGGCACACAAAGAGCGTACAATAGATACTTGTCCATTCATTTGACAGATATTTTTTAAGCACCTACTATGCACCAAACACTGTAGCAGGCATACTATTTAGAGCTGTGAAGAAAACCACGCATGCTGCTTTCAGTTTCATGGGAACTTAAAGCCTCCTGTTGATTTAGGACCTCCTTTCAAGTCCCAGACATAATAAAAGGCAAAAAATTTAACATTAGTAAATAAAATATATCAATGAAAATTATAAAACACATTTGCAAATACATTTTTAGTGACTGAGCATACAGTGTGGGAGGCCAGACTAAGTCTGAGTAGTGACTATTTTACTCACCTCCATCTTCTTTTTTAGCTATAATTCTGTTTTTCAGCCATTCTTTGGTTTCTTCTTTGACATCCTGAGCAAGTTCTATGACCACCAAAGGCGTGAAAGAACTCTCAGAAGTATTCAAAGCTGATAAGGTCACTTTCATCTTTGACAAATCTGCTGAAAATTAAAATAAAGAGTGAAAATGGGTTGTTATTATGGCAAAGAGAAATATGCTATAGACTTCCATTTTCTCTCAATTATACCTAATTCTGGCTTCCAAGATCAAAGCAAATTTCTCATGATTCAGATGGGTTACATGACAGACTCAACCAATGGTTCAAAGTACATGTGTGAGCCAAGCTTTGGAAAGAACGCCATCCTTTTCTATAAGCAGCTCAGAATGTAGCAGAATAGACATTTGTGTAAATGAAGGATAACGATGTAAAATGTGCTGTCACACAATAAGAAAGTATTTTCAAAGAACGTGGCATGTGGCATCTGAACAGGATTCAGAGGAATGAATAGGAGTTTGCCAGATACACAATGAGAGGTATCCTAAGTAGACAAAATTTTATTTCCCTAGAAAATTATGATGAAAAAACAGCCAAGAGGCTCAGAGAAATACAAATGGTTAGGTATGGTTGGAACATTAACTTTGTGTAGGAGGAAAGAAAGGTGGCAATCAGCTGGTATCCAACTAGGGTCCCAGATTACAAAGGAAATGGGCTTTGTCTAACATACAATGGGAGTCACCAATTCATTATGAGCAGGGAACTGATGTAGTCAGTAGGGAGCTATTACAGATCACAAAGGGTCAGCCTAGAGTGTGGGAGGCCAGTTAGGGGGCCATTAAAGTAGTCTAGAAAAAGCTGATACTGGTCTGAACAATGACAATGAAGAGGAAAGGATAGCTGGGGGTTAAATCTATAGAAGCAGACAACTGGGCTGAATATAACTACTAAAAAAAGAAAAAGAAAAAGAAAAATGCTAGTGGGTAATGAGTAGTCAGGGTGTAATTATATGGAACTCTCTACAGTACCCATCTCAGCTAGGCAGAACCACTACTATACATTTCCTCCAAAACTATACATCCTCAAAGTGACACATTAACTATGAACACAAGCCAAGACTTCCACTTCCAGGACAGTAGATTAAAGGGTTCAAACTCTTCTGCTGAAGACAACTAGACAACATACACCCACAGTCACATACATAAATATGTGCATATATATGTGACACCACAAGTGGAAAATTCCACACATAAGTACTTAACACAAAGTTGATCTCACGCACAAAATTATTTAAAATACTATATAACATTACTTTTAGGCTATGTGTGTAAAGTGCATTTGAAACATAAATTTCAAGTTTAGCCTTGGGTCCCATTCCCAAGAGATCTCATTATATAAATGCAAATATTCCAAAATCTGAAAAAACCCAAAATCTGAAACACTATTGGTCCCAGCATTTTGGATAAGGAATACGTGACCTGTATTTTTAAAAATTTGTGAATAACAAAAAGCCAACTAAGCTGGGCATGGTGGCTTACACCTGTAATCCCAGCTATTTTGGAGACAGGCTGGAGGATCACTTGAGCCCAGGAGTTCAAGACCAGCCTGGGCAACATAACAAGACCCTGTCTCTAAAAAAAAAAAAAAAAAAACAAGGCAGTGGGAAATAATGGAGTCCAGAAGACAGCTAAGCACTTGCAACCAGTTTCTCTGGAGTCTCTCTGAGAGGGTAAGAAGCTAAGCAGGGGCTTCTGTGGCCTCCATGGGGAGGCTTGGGTGACAAAACGTGCAATTAGTAGAGAGCCGATCAAGGAAGACAGTCAGATAAAATCCCCACTTTGAACTGGGACCTGAAAAGGCTACATTCTAAACAATAGTGACGAGAATTAGATAACCCTGTATAGGAACTAAATTCATAGGTTTGTATTATTAATCAAGAGAAAAGTTAGTACATACGAAACAAAAATAGTAACAAACAATGAAACCAAACACATGAATAGATCCAAATAATGTAGTTGAAAGGACTGTAAAATAATGATCATCTATTCAAAGAACTAAAAACAAGATTGATAATTCTGGCAAAGAACTGAAAACTATTTTTATGGAAATTCTAGAATTTAAAAATGTGAGTCAAAATTGAGAACCCAAGGAAGGCTTTATAGAAAATCGGACAACCTAAAGAAAAAACCAATGAATAATAACCACAGCACAAAGAAAATATCTAAGAACTCACCCTGAGACAAAAAAAAAAAAAAAAAAAAAAAACAAAGAAAATACAGTAAAAAGAGTAAGAGACAAGGAACTAAAAGGGGGAGGTATTAGAATACAAACAATATCTGAAGAGAGACTGACCAAGAATTTCCCAAAGCTGACAAACTATATACCAAGGCACAGATTTAAGAATCTCTATATACCTCCATCAAGATAAATTTTAAAAAGCGTAGTAAATATCAGAAAAGCCAATAGAGAGAAAATCTTAAAGCAGAAAAATAAAGACAAAATACCTTGAAGACCAATAATTAGACTGAAAGAGTATCTTCAGTGTACCAAGAGAATATTATGGCTACTCCAAAATTATATACTTAGCCAAAATATGCCTCAAGAATAAAAGAGAAATAAAGCTATTTTCAAACATACAAAAATTGAGAGGATTCATCAGCATATTTCCACCAAAGAAAATGAAATGGTATTTGTTTTGTGGTTTTGTTTTGTTTTGTTTTGTTTTTGAGACAGGGTCTCACTCTTTTGCCCAGGCTGGAGTCCAGTAGCATGTGCCACCACGCCCAGCTAATTTTTGTATTTTTTGTGGAGACAGGGTTTTGCCATGTTGCCCAGGCTCATCTCGAACACCTGGGCTCAAGTGATCCTTTCGCCTTGGCCTCCCCAAATGCTGGGACTTCAGCTTCAGTTGTGAGCCACTGCACCTGGCCTTTTTTTTTTTTTTTTTTTGAGACAGGGTCTTGCTCTGTCACCCAGGCTAGTCTGGAGTGGGATGATCATAACATGTTGCTGCCTCAAACTCTGGGGCCCAAGCAATCCTCCCACTTCAACCTTTCAAGTAGCTGGGACCACAGTTGCGTGCCATGACACCCAGCTAATTTTTTTATTTTTGTAGAGATGGGATTTCCCTGTGTTGTCCAGGCTGGTCTCAAACTACTAAGCTCAAGCAATCCTCCCTCCTCAGCTTCCCAAAGTACTGGGATTGCAGGTGTGAGCCAGTGTGCCCAGCCAAGAGTGTTAAGACAGAAAGAAATGATTGCAAACGATCTGGCATCTAGAACATAGCAATCTCATATTTAGTGAACAGACAGCATTTGTAATATAGGAACTCCCCTACTGCCTTTTAAATTTAATTTCTTCTTTACTAAATTTCTCTTTTGTTGAATTTCTCACTACATATAAGACACTTTCTAGGTACCTACATACAAAATTCTACGTAATCTTCCTAAAGCCCTATAATTTATACTTTAAAAACCAAGAGGAAAATTGAATGGAGAAGTTACTTTGTTAAGCTCATAGTAAGCAAGAAGTTAGTTTCCCATGATATACAGCTTAAAATTAGAGAAAATAGAGTCATTAGAGATATCCAAATTCTATGTTTTTTCCTACTAAATGAAATCTTAATTTTGAATTGTCTACCATACAACTCTGTTGAAGATGAGCTGAACAGTTCAAGATAAAATGACAAAGTGAAACCATATTACAGAATCTTCCGACCTAAAGCAAAATTAAATATATAAAACAAGTAACACAGTGCCCAAATATTAATAACAAAAAATAGTCAGCAGCCAAAGAGTAAACCTCAAGCCAAAATCATGACCAACTGAAGACAATACCAACAATGAACTGATAACAAAGGATCCTTCTGACAATTTGGAGAATTCCAACCATTTACGGTCATGCATCACTTAATGACAAAGACAGTTCTGAGAAATGGGCAGTTTCACTGTTGTGGAAACATCATAGAGTGTACTCATACAAACCTAGATGGCATAACCTACGACATACCCAGGCTATACAGTATAGCTTATTGGTCCAAGGCTACAAACCTATACAGCACGTTACTGCACTGAATCCTGTAGGCAACTGTAACACAATAATATGTATTTGTGTATCTAAACACAGAAAAAGTACAGTGAAAATACAGTATAAAAACTTAAAAATGAATACACCTGTATAGAATATTTACCATGAATGAAGCTTGCGGGACTGGAAGTTGCTCTGGGTGAGTCAGTGAGTGAGTGGTGAGTGAATGTGAAGGCCTAGCACATTATTGTACACTACTGTAGACTTTATAAACACTGTACATTTAGGCAATACTAAATATATTTTTTAAAGTTTTTTTCAATAATAAATTAACCTTAGCTAACTGTAACTTTATAAATTTTTTGATTTTTTGACTTTTGTAATAACACTTGGGTAAGACACAAACACACTGTACAGCTGTACAAAAATATTTTATTTATATCTTTATTCTAGAAGCTGTTTTCTATTTAAATTTTTTAAATTTTTAAATATTTTTGTTAAAAAACTAAGACACAAATACATTAACCTAGGTCTACACAGGGTCAGGATCGTCAATATCACTGTCTTCCACCTCCACATCTTGTCTCACAGAAAGGTCTTCAGAAGCAGTAACACACATGGAGCTGTCATCTCCTATAACAATGCCTTCTTCTGGAATACCTCCTGAAAGACCTGCCTGAGGCTGTTTTACAGTTAACTTTTTTTAATATAAGGAGGAGTACACTCTAAAATAATGATTAAGAGTATAGTATAGTATAGTAAATACATAAACCAGTAAAAATGGGTTCATTATCATTGTCAGGTATTATGTACTGTACATTACTGTATGTGCTACTTTTATGCAACTGGCAGCACAGTAGGTTTGTTTACATCCGCATCACCACAAACACATGACTAATGTGTTATACTACGATGTCACCAGATGACACAAATTTCTCAGCTCTGTTATAATCTTATGGGACCATGATATATGCAGTCTGTTGTTGACCGAAATGTCATTATCCAACACATGACTGTACATGCAAGTGTCTGCAAATTAATCTTTATAACACTGTCAGGCACAGAAAAACAGCTAGACATTTTAGTAGATTGCTGAATTAGACTTCAATAAACTCTAGAAGTATACCAATTTTATTT